CACTCACACTTGGACAGAGCAAACACACAAGACATGACATAACATCATGCTTACAGCCACTTCCACTTCCAAAAAAATACTGAAGCAGCAGGTATCATGCCTGCGAGGCACGTTGCTTCCCTCCGACACTGCAAAAAGACAAAGGTGCTACAGCCCAGCGCAGCATTAGATGCCACCACTGGGCATTCTGGTTTCAGTTCTTAATCCACCCCACTTACGTAACAGCATTTCATAGTCACAGGGGTAGGCAAGATTAATAATGTGCTAAAAACCTACTTCAGCAACAAAATCAGGAAGATTTTAGAGATACGGGATTTGATTGCTGTCAGTCAGCTGAAGTAGAAAAATATCCCAAACAATTTGTGGGTGCAAAAGTGATCTTTACTTCAGAAAGTATTGGGAAAACACGTTAACTGGGTCTTGCTTTAGAAACAAACATTAAACTGCCAGTACCCCCTATGCAAAGCATTCTCTTTAAAGATAGCTGTTTCGTAAATTAATTTAGATCAGTTTGCATACAGACATTTGTCTCAAAGTGGCTAAGGCAGAGCCACACATCAGGTGACACTGTATGGATCCTTCTGCAGTACTACAATATTGATAGAGGAAAAGAAGGATCTGAAAAGGAAGTAGGAAAATGTCAGGCTGCAAAGCTGGCATGTTGCCACCAAAATGCAGCATTACCTATCTCTTCAATAAATGTTCAGACTTCACAAGCAGCAGCCACACATGCTTTAACGCAGGAACTTAGACCACACAGGATGTGTTCCCCTAAAAAAATCCTTTGATTAGAGGGGGATATTTACAAATAGCTTCAGAAGACGTCACCTATATAGATCTGCTCCAGGATTTGCACATCCCAAGGCAGGTAAAATTAATGTAATACGATGAATAATGGAATGAATGAAAAATGGAATTTATAAACTCTATGCTGTATGCATGCAAGCATGCCACAACACAACACTGCTTGTGCTACTAGACGTTTTAGACTGGATAACATGACAACCTGTTATCTTCTATTTTCAATTGAAAGCAAAGCTTTAAAAAACTGGAGGACTTGGGGTGTGGGGAGAGGAGTAAATTAAAATACAATCTTCATTACGTTCTGGCACTTGTTTGCGAAACTTAAATAGTCTTGAGGATCTACAAGTCATGAAATTCCAGTCTTGCTGCCCTTGGCCAACGAAAGCAGCTGGATTTTTAAAGGAAGAGTTAAGCATGTCATATTTGCAAGTATTTTAAGTAATATGTTCGTGATCTCTTTTGTTTCAATAGCCTTGTGCTGACTGCAATACTATTAGCTGTTGCGCTCAAGAAACAACATTTGAAGATGACCTTCAAGGACTTAGTTCCAAATTAAGCCATCAGGAACCCTGAGGGTAAAGGGGTTCACTGGTTAAGACAGCACAGTCTATTATTAATAATTTCAAAGCCAAAAAAATAAAGCTGAGCCAAAAAGTCCCTGCTATAATAGTAACTGTCTTTTTTTAGGCATCTGAACAGACAGCAATTGGCAAACTAAGACTTTTAAGATTTATTTTAACTTTTTATGTATGGTCCTGTTGAATTACAGAAGCTAAACTATTGCACAAGCATTACAATGTCTTGTTCAGGACTTTCTTTCCCCAAATGAGCTGATTTCTGTCATGCAAAGCAAGCAAACATACTTTTCTCTTCTTTTCTCCTACTGCAAAAGTTGAGCCAGAGCCCTGAACCCTTCTTGTAGCAGTCAAAGATTTTCTAAATGTAACTTCAACATTACAAATGTTGAATTCCATTTCAGTACTTCCATCTTCCGCACTCCTAAAAGCGGGAGAATATCCCTGCCACCCACACTAGCAATCCCAGTTTGGGCTACAAGGCTTGAGATGCACCAGTTGTTCTTCATCATCTTCATCCATAGCTCAAAGGACAGTTGCGACAAACTGATTTCTTCAGCTCTCCTCCTCCAACAATCCAGAACTTTTTTTTTTTAATGAGAAGGAGAATTGGCAACATGGAGGCAAAACCATCTCTGCATTCCCCCGAGGAGCCTGGATTCCCACCCACTGTTCCTTACCTTGGTGATTCAAGGAGATGCGGTTAGATGGTTCTTGGAAGCCCGGTTCCACCAGATCCCGCCGACCATGAGCTGAAGTCTGATCTACATTGTCCTAAAAACAGAAGAGCAGAAAATCTTATCAAAACCAGGCATTCTGTACTCCCTGTAAGCTACATCGCACAGAGCCAAACCACTGATACAAAAAACCAAAATCCCTGCCATACCTCTGAAAGGAGAAACCAATGTCAGAAGAAGGGGGGAGATTATAGGGGGACACTAGACTGTCACATTAATACATGTGGCATGAATCCAGAATCAATGACGATGCCATTGGCTCATCTGCATTTCAAACTGGGAAACAGTGATGTAAATGCACTTCCTAGTTTAACAAAAGTTTCTTCTTGCATCAAATTATGCAGAGGCTTGGGGCTTTGTTTTCTTTAATTCCAAGGGGGTTTGTAACTAATTAACTGGACTGAAACAGATTCAGTAGTGAACTACTAAACCTCAAGAGGAATCTGAAGTTCAGTTTAGATAAACATCCATGGCTCTGGATGCCAACCTGGTTTTTTGGGTGGGGTTTTTTTTTTCATACTAGAACTCTCACAAGATCAGGTTTCAAGAAGTTTTAACACAGACTGAATTTGGCTAAGTCTAAAATACCACAGCTTCTCACAGATCTTGCCAAAGACAACGACTAGGAGAAAGCAGGAAAACTGAAATATAAACAAAAAATAAGAAAAGCAAGATAAGTCGCATTATGTTTTTTTAGAAGCGTAAGAAGGAAATTTAGAGCAGGTACACAGTTTTACAAAGTTGGCGTACCTTTGCATATACTGGTTAAGGGTGGGTATGGAAAAACAGAAGCAAGTTTGACTTGCATAAGGTTGACTACATTGATATATCACCGACCATAAACTGCTGCAGTGATATACGTGACTGTATACATGGTCCTGCTGTGCCCAAAATGTGGGATAAATACACAATGGCATGACCCACATTTACGTCAAAACATAGGAACCACCTTCACAGCAAATGACATTGTAATTACGGCAGAGAAATAACATTGCCACTCACACACAGTGAGCGGCGATTCAACTATGTGCAACTGTGAGCTCTCAGCCCAGCATTTCCAGTTTACAGAATATAAGCTAACGCTCAAAAACCTAACGGACGTAGTGTTTGGGGATAAGAATTATATATAGTTATACAGGATATGAAATAAATTATATTATCTCTTCTTCAGAGAGACTGTCTCAAACAGCAAATGCTTGAGCTTTGATTCAAGTACTCAAGCACCGCTCTTGAGTGCCTTCACCATCACAGATCAATTCAGGAGCCCACAGGCGTTTATAAGACAGGAACTGCCAACAGTGGTATGACTAAAGGAGGTTTTTAAAAATAAACAATATATGATAAGATACATAAGGCATCCATCTATCTATGCCAGATACAACTGGGACCACTTAGACTTCTGCCTCCGTATTGGCTACCTCCCCTTATAGCTCTTTACATCCTTGCCACTGATTTTCATGGCACTGGCTGTTGTTTCATGAGCCACATCTAGCTAATCTCACAAATTTTTGTAGTTGCTTCTTAGGAATTAAAAAAAAAAAAAATCAGACATCCTGTCAGCATGACTGTATTTGTTCTTACTTTCTTGAAACGTGGCAATATTTGTTAGCTCCTTCACCGGAGCTAACTGAATACGTGTTAGCGCAACTCATGAGCTCCTGTCTGTCAAATCCCTCGCAACCGCAGGGTATCACATCCTAACATTATTACTGCTTCTGGAGCACTAGTCGTTTTCCCTGGATGTATCTCACTTTCTTAGGGATACCACACAGCCAGCACTGACCTGGCCCACAACATCTTAATTTTAAATTTCAGACAGGAAACTTGGGACTTGCAGCACGAGAAGGCCACTGCAGGAAGCAGATACAAAACTAAGAGTCTGCTCCCCAGAAAGCTTAGTGCAATTCTTTCAAAGGCTCCAGGGACAACAGGGGTGGGGTGGGGAAGTGGGGGAGATGTTTATCTAGGAAAAGTTTCAGTCAAAGCTTAAAGCTGAAGTCGATTGCTCTGCAGTTATTTCAAACCTAGTACAAAGTATTGAGAGGTGAACATCACAGGCATGGCGAACAAAGCAGCAGAACATCCTTCCCCCCAGTGCAGGGCTTTCCTTGTGCGTTTCCCCCCATGCAATTCAACATCACATATTTTTATTGGGTAGGTAAAACCCCACTGACGCAGTCTACCAGCGTTAGTTCCACTTCCCAGGAACGCATCCAGACATCCGACGCATGGATGCAGTTGCGTATTGCCTCTCGGCTGGGAAGAGCAACAGGGCATCCCACAGAAACAGAAGGTGGAACAGGAAAACCAGTTCTACGCTTTGTTACACGCCTAAATGCGTTTTCAGTTGTCCCAAGACATAAAAGTCCCTAGTGGAAGGCAAGATTCATGCAGTACTATGTAGCAACAGAGGATGAGATGTAGCCAAGATGCACCTTTTTACTTTTGGATTTCTCACAGCAGTAACACACACACACACTTAACTGAGAAGACCTTATTTCAGGCTTACAGCTGGCCGCAAGCCTGTAACTCTTTAATTGAAACTGTTGGTTTTTTTTAACTAGCAATTGCCAATAATTTACAGGAATAGGATTCATCCTCTCTGGAATCACCTTACAGCTGTACCAGAAGATGCCGAGAACCACAGGCCTCATTCACACAGCTTAAGCCAAAGTCACAGTAAGACGTATCAACGTTTTCAGAAGCAGAGGTTTCAATGACTAATGATTGCCGGTGCTGCCCTTACAAAGCTGATGCCCCTGCCTGTTTCCTTAGGTGCAAACCCCCGCCCGGGTCTGCAGACTTCTCCTGCAGCTCGAGCAAAGTGTGGAACCAAAGGTTTCCTCCAGGCACTGAGGGCCAGCGCAACCCAGGTGCTAAAGTAAAGCGACAGACGTGCATAAACAAAGCCACACCTGTTAAAAGCAGTGCAGGCAGCAGAGTAGGAAAGGTAAGGGCAGTGCGATTTAAAGAGCTGAGGGTAGTTTCACACGACCCTCCAGAATCTGTTTGTGTCCGTTGTGCACAGACAAACAGTGGCACTTGGCCAGCTGCAGCAGAGATCAGACGGGCACTGGAACAAGGTTAAAAGAAGAAAGGCCGGGGGGGGAGTTATATAATTGCTCGGTGCCAGCGGCCTCGTTGTTGGGCTCCTGCTCCGGGCCGTGGCCGAGGCCCTCAGCAAGGTGGGCACCTGCTTTGGTCAATCACCATCCCCCCGCCGCCACTCAAACTGGGCTCCCGGTAAGTCATGTGTTTGCGACGTGTCTTAATCCCCAGCTCTCCCTCCTCTTCCAATAAATGCTCTCAATATGAAATTAAAGCATGTTACTTAACTTACTGTACCATCCAGCTATTGTAGTATTTTTAGAAGCCAGCTGAGCATTAGCCCTCGCTGACTTGTTTGCCCGTACTATTTTGTACTATTTTCTCTGTCAGTCAGCGTCTGTGACCAAGGATGATTTAATCGAGTGACTAGCAAGAGTGCTAGAAGGATCTGAAACAGGGTTTAGGGTTTTTTTAGAGTCCTTTAAAGCATTAGCATTTCACATAGCCAAAACACACCATCATTACAGGTTAGACTTCAGTGTCCTTTTGCAAACCTATATCGCATGACACAAAATGCGACACGCTTGCATCGTATTAAGAGCCAAAGTCCACTCATAGACAGTGTTATCTCTACGTATCAGTAACCAGGACAATCTGGATTTATTTTTTCAATCTATAACCAAGCCTTTCAAGTTGCACTCCTTCAACTATGACATACAATATTTGCTGCTGTTTGTGCTAGCATGATAAGCATTTCAGTTATCAAAGAAAGCATTAAATCTGGTCTTTTAATCAGAGAATCAGACAGCCATATACTATAGTAGCTCTGCTGTCTGCGCATGGGCTCTGTAATCACTTCTTCGGCTCCAAGTGCTACTGTTCCTACCTGCAGTTTAGCTCAGAAGAGCATTTATCAGTATGAGACAGCATTATTAGGCTGACCAGAGTGTTGCTACTACAATACTGCTGCTTCTCTCATCCTGGTTCCTTCAGCAAAGGTTATCCAGTCAGTCATTCAGGATAATCTTACAGGTAAATAGGGCTTAGAGAAAGGAGGAAGAAGGTTCAAAAGTACAAATAATAAAGTATCATCTATACTTCCCTTCTCCCTCTTTCTTTGCGGAGAAAGGGGCCTGACATTAGCAGAGACAGAGTAGGTTTCTCAAGAGGTCTGGAAATCCCCTTTTACTGAAGGCTTCAACTTTTTCTAACTTCAGCAGTCACTGGAAGTTTACGAGATGAAGGCAGGCTACAAGTGGCAGCACAGCTTCTCGGAAGCTCCTGGGAGCACGGCCAGACTGAGGACATCCAGACCACCAAGACGACAGTCCCTGGTTTCGGATTTACTGTAGCTGTCTGCAAACCCACACAGCCATGCCCCTGAACAAAAGGTTCAATTGAGCAAGAGTCACGCGTACTCATGCCAGCAGTCCCACAGCGACAAATTAAGATCATGACATACTTCCGATGTTTGTACACCATCCAGCACAACAGAAAGTCAAGTCAGACGTGCTGACAGGTCCCACTGTGGTTTAGGAGACTATCAAGGCAGATACACCTCAGTTTGCACAGAGGCACTTCTGCCATGCCAGGAGCTCGCTGCCTACCTGACAGCGCTACTTTATCACACTGAGGTAGATGTCTTAAAACTAGTCAAGCGTAAAAAGAAAATTAGCCAAGTCATTACTTGAGCCACCTTAGCTTTACTCTGTTCAGACAACTTGTGTAAAGCAAAATGAAGTACCTTCTGCTAGCACAGGCATTGCTAAGTGTTCAAAAGTGTAAGTGTCTTCCAAAAGAAGCAATTATTAAAATTCACTGAAGAGGTGTCCACCACGGGCTGTGAAGGAGTGGACACAGCTCCAGGCTCCAGAAGCAGGAAGGGGATACTTTGAGAAATTGCACTCTCTTTGTATCTGCAACTTGTTGCTCTTAGACGAAGGACACAGAGCTAGACGAACATTTCTTTATCTGACCCAGTACTGCCATTCTTAACATGCTTCTGGAGTTTCCTTAGGCAATAAACAGATTAGGCAGCATTTATTCTGAGGACCACTTCATATGATTCTTCACCTTCCAAACAAAAGACTATTTGCATTTACGTAAAGTAACTTTCTGCATTGTTTTCTAAGCTATGCTGCTGCTTTACACCGTGATCTTGCAGCTTTGCTTTACTTTAAAGCATCAAATGTACAAGGAGAAGAATAGAGTCAATTATGGGAAGTGCCGAGTAGCCAGCTATTCATCGAAGTAAACTTTCCTATAGCTTACTGGTATCCACAGCAATCCACAGAGTTTCTGTTCTGTCACTCAATTTTACTCTTAGCCCTGTGAAGGCAAACACATAGGCTATTACAGGAAGAAATCCACCTGACAGATCCAGACCAACATTTAAGCTCTAATCCAAACTCCACAGTCTAGATCAATTAGTAATGCATATGATGCTCCTTTCTTAAAAGATTTAAGTCACTGGCCTTCTTAGTGGCTAAATACAGCAGCACTGTTTCCTACCAGATAGCTGTTTGTTATATTTTCAGCCTGCTGACACCCCACAGCTTGAGGAAATTTGTCCCAAGTACAGTTGTACAAGCAAGGGTCTTGGGTTTGTCCAAAGTCACTGCTTTGCAAATGATTTCAAGTTTACTCAAACACAGTTCATATTTTTTACTGTCTTCTGCCAGAGCTCCAATCACATCTTCCCTGGGCCAGTGCTTAACATGTCATAGGAATAAAGGAAAAACAGGCTTTTGCACACTAGGCAAAAAACTTTAAAGAGCATTCTCAGACAACCCACATATTACATAATTAAAGACCTGTAACTAGGTTTCCTGCCTCTTAACTATAGTCATTTGACTAGGTAAGAGCCAAGTGAAAGGCTCAGTAAGTCAACAGAGTAACCATGAACCTAGAATTTTAGCATTCCCATTGCTAAGAGAGCTTGTACAAACAAGGGCTTAAAATAAAGCCACCTAGCTTTGTCAAAAGTCAGGCTCTCTCTCCTGAAGTAGCAAAGCCACTAACTGCAGGAATCCTTCTGATTTTACAGTACTGGCTGTAAGACAGAGTGAGAACCCTAGAGACCAGGAACAAACAAGCCCAGCTTGGGATCACAGGACTAGCAAAGGCAGCAGCACATTCCTCCCTACACACCGCAGCACCTCCGATCCTCGGTGCCGCAAATCACTGAGAACACACTATAACCTGGCAGGGCACACAGACCTATTGCTATCCACACATTCATACAACCCTCAGCAGACTTACCAGCCCACCACACAACATATACAATAGCTACAAGAAACACAACATACCAGGAATTAGCAAAAAAAGAAGGAAAATGAGAGAGACTGACAGACAAGACAGACCTGCATCCGTGGTCTATGTCTCTGCAGTGGCAGGGAATTTGTTAAATGAATCACAGGAATTATATTACATCCCATGATATAGGGGAAGGCAGAAAGGCTTGCCAGTCTGACCTTGGAGGAACTTCTCTTCCGACCCCCGTCTGGGTTTCAGTAACCCACTGACCAGAAAGTCCTTCAATTCAGCAAAAAAATTGGGGGTTTGGACCCTGTTGTCAGCAATGAAACGCTGTAGTGTGCATGCCCCAAGTCAGTGAAGTGTTTCTTCTCTTACACCAAGGGGAAAAAAAGCTTTCTTAAATACATGGACTGATATAGTTATACAATATACTGCTGTAGCTGAGCCAGAAAGTTATTTTTCTGAAGGTGTTTCAGATTATTTTAAAAAGTATTACCAGTTATGTGACTTGTCATTACCTGCATTGCAACTGCTATCAGGGCAGTATCGTTTCACACCAAAAACTACTGTTACCTACTAGCCAGCTCTGCCCCCCACCCCCCAAAAAAAAAGTGGCTCTTCAGCCCCCCAGGAAATAAATAAATAAATAAATCAATCTAATCTGGCAAGAGCTGGACCATGACTAGCAATCTCCAACAGTATCTGGTAGCAGCAGTTTATACATAAAAAGCTTTTCTCCAGTAAGGCAGGAGTGAGCATACCATGTTAGTTGACAGCTTCAGCAATGCACTTTTACAGGACGCATACACACTAGCAGTACAGATTCAGCTTCCCTAGGCTGGTCTTTGCAAAACTGGCATTAGCAGGGTTTTCAACACTACTGAACCCAGAATTTAGCAAGAACTACGTCAAATCAAATTTCTCTCACTAGATGCAGCCCTCTCTTAGTAGAAACTAACCACTTCTGCAAGAATTTAGCTGTCTCACAGTACTCTCCACAGAGAAAATCAATAGTATATTCCACAGTGTGCACTTTTTAGACCAGACTGCCATTTATTATGGTAGAACAAAATTCAATGCATGATGGTTGCTGTCTTTTAATCAGCTAGCAAGGAGGGAATCCAACTGACAGGCTTAGAAATGCTAAAAGCTTTGTTCTATTTTTAATGAGACGAAAACCACCATGGCTGTTAGAGACAGTTTACATAGTTTACAGCTAAAATAAAGTCTTGAAATACAGAAAAGAAACAAATGCACAAGGTTCTTCGTGAAAGCAATCACTTCTTAGAGCTGTCTTCAGCTAGAAAGCACTTACAAAAATGAAGCAGTTACTTGCTGATAAAGTGTCATTTTGCTTTTTTTAAAGCATCAACTAGGTTCCTTTCTAACAAAACACCACTGAATAAGTGAAGTTTATATTAGGAAATTCTTCACAGTAGAAAATTACATGCTTATATGGAAATTCTGTTTCTTCTGCTGGTGCCCATAGATCCTGATAATGTAGCTTTAGCTTGCACTTAAATCTAAGTTAGCCTTACCTCCAAAGCAAGTCACTCTCACTGGCAAGGGACTGCCACTGACAAAGCTACCAAAACCCTAATTTACTGCATGTTCCAAGCTCTTTGGTTTTGGTCAATACTGACTCCACCAATAAAGTCCCTGAAAAAAAAAAATCTGTTTTCTGTGAGAGAGAATTGTATTTACCAATAGGAATTAAACAGAAAAACTGAGTCTTGTTATCCTGAGAAAGTATAAAGTAGTATGTCATATTCCTCTTCTTTTTAAAGATGCTTTTCAGTGAGATTTTGCATCATTCTCTTATCAAAGAACTGATACTTAATAGACTACACTACTTAAATTGAGTTAAAAGCACAGCAAGGCTCTAATGAACTTAGCAATCCATACGTGTTAACTACTATACTGGATGGTGCTCACATAATCTAAGGGAGTAATGCAACCCATAATGATGTGTTGTTGCTCATAAAACCTCTACCCTATTCAAGAATCCTTACCGGGGTCACTTTCTGTGTTTTGTCCAAGTTTCTGAAGAGCATGGTCAGCCTATATTCCTTCCTCATCAGAAAGATGAAAAGAAATATAATGGGAATATTTGTACCCAGGTGCTGTGGAAAATTTCAGCATGTCACACACCTGCTAACACACCTGTCCGTTCTGAGAAAGTGTCTTCAAGATTATTTTCTTTTAGCTTGCACTGGAAAAAAAAAATCTTCACATGTTCTTTCGGGGGAAGTTGTAACACACAGAAAGAAGGTACAGGATATTTGATCCTCTTCAACCCACTGCCCTCCCCATGCTCAGACTCGTGAAACACAAGGTAGCTTGTCTGTTCTACTTGGCATCAAGTCTACGAGAGCTCTGGTTATAGCAGCGCTGCTGGCCAGCTGCTTGCAAGAACACTGGCTTTGGGAGTCAGGTTTTGATAGCACCCTTGCACCAAGTGGACGAGAGACGTTCTGCAAACCACCTTGGACAGTCTGTCCCAGCGCAGGCTAACGATGCCCTGCATTAACCTTGGAAGGCTCAATGCTTGAAAGGATGACCTGGTAGTCTCTGTGATCCGGCACTGCAGCAACACAGTTGTGTGTCTCAGGCCAGGGAAGGGAGGAGAGAAGGGAAGATGCTACCTAGGTTGCAGGAACCACTATTTCCATACAAGTGCATTCTCTTTAAGACTAGATATTCCAACCTCTACACTTTGGGAAGCGGCAACCACAGCCAGATACATTTAACTGTATGCACCCTTATAGCTAGGCAGCCCTGAAAACTCAAGACTGATGAAACTAACAAAGGAATGAAAGTAGCATAAAACACAGAGCAAAGGAATTTATCCCACCTGAATGTGGGTCTGCTTTCCTAAAGGCAATCGTGCTATCCCCTTTTGCCTTCTTGATGGTTCAGGTTCAAACTGAGGGTTTGAACAGGCCAATAAGTGAAGATGATTCTTCACAGCCCTGGACAGAGCTGATAAAATGATAAACCTCCCATGGGGCAAGAGGCACTGTGCTCACACAGACAAAATTCACTGGACACCAGCAAGCAAAGTAACTCTCAGAGTGATAATGAAGTTGTTCTTCAGGTCTTCAACCTGAAAATCTGATTAATTTCAAGCGTCACGTTGAACAAGTTCATACAAGACTATTTTGCTATCCTTACTTGCTTCAACTATCGGTGATATGGACCTTATCCCTCTACTTTCTAGCCAATTTGTTCAACTGTTGCAATTTAGGGTACCCTTCCACTCCTTCCCTGAAGAGTGATCCTTGGCACTAGATAAGTAATTAACTAGGTCTAGAAATGGGTGTCCCATCTGATCAAACCTATGATCCTAATTATATTGACCACACACCTTTCTGCTTAGATAAAGAACCATTTAGCTGTTACACGGTGCAATCTGCCCCAGAACTAATTGCCCACCTTAGTGAGGGACTTTTGTAGTTCAGGTGACTTGCTTTCAGTTAGATACAGAACTAAGTCTTTACACATCTCCAGAACAGCAAGCCTTACCAAAAAGAAGGTATTCAAGAATCTCAGATATGTGGTAAAGATTTATACACCTCAGTTGACAGCTCTATAACCTATTAGAAAAACCACACAGAAATCAGACACATCTCTAAAGCACAACAATCATGCCTTTTCATGATTAACAACCCAGCATCAGATCTTGCATTAGAAGAGACCGTTGTGCTCTCCCCTAACCAAACAGCAGAGTTCCACTCTCTCAGAGCAGATCAGTAATGTAATTTCAGCAAAGAAAATGACAGCATGTAAGAAATAGTCTACAACATATGGGTACTTAAACAAAAAAATACTTCTTTTGTACTGCTTACATTGCAGTAATAGGTTACTTTGCAAGCCCTCAGAAAAAAAAACAAAACACCATTACCAATAAAACAAGATGCCTGTGTTTCTGCATTTCCTTCTTTAATCATGTTTGAATCTCATTTGACCTTCAGTTTTAAGAAAGTCACATCACCGCACCTTTCACACTGATGTTCAAAACAGTTTTCCTAAAAAAATCATTAAAAAAAAATCCTCAAGAGTGATGCTCTGTTAGACTTCATAAAGTCACTGCTCCCAAGTGTTAGCAACGGTTGGGCAATCTTTCTAATACAAACTATGCTGCAGTGCTGTCTCTGTACAAATTGTCAATTCACAACAGTTGGAAAGAAAACAAAACAAAAATTAAGCTAAGACTAACAACAGGGGTCATCCTGGATACTTCAGTGTGCCAGTGTCTTATCCCCATTTCTCAAAATGAAAAAAACTTGCAGTATTTTCTACATCTTCAGAGTCCTTATCAGAATACAAAAAAGTAACTAGTTTGACTCTAGTAAAATCCAAGCAGCTCAAAGGTACTTTTTAGCCTGAGAACTTCTCTCAGTGCTCTGGACATTTTACCTACCTCTGGCTGATTTTCAAAAATCTAGGTACAATATGAAATGTGCTTAATTGCTACGCTTGTTCCAGTATTAGTAAATATAGATGTTTGAGCTAATTGCAGGTAGCTCTACCAGTTATCCTGCATCAAGAAGATGGCTTTATCAGAAAATCTTTATTGACTTACCGTTCTCTAAAGAAAGAAAATTCGCAAAAGCTCAGCAATCTGCATTTAAATAGTAACAGATTACATGTAAAGTTGCAAGCTGCCCCAGGAAAACCCAATACAAAGTGTAAATCTTTCGTTTTTGCACAAACTGGCACTCGGAAAAAAACTGCGTGTTAAAAGGAAGCATGTCAATCACCTCTTCATGCTTGGAAGGTTTTGTTTTCATTTTGTTTTATAACTAGTTGTTCACAGCTGAAGTGTGTCAAGTGACTGCTTATTTTGTACAGCTTCTCCCCACTTTTTCCAACACCTACTGCACACATCCAACAAAGCTACCCACCGCACGGCAGAACATACACTGCAACACTTCAACATGGTCAGCAGCAGCAGCTGCTTTAATTCTGCACAAATCCTCTGAATACTGGGCTACGGTAAGGCCTCAACAGATCAGGGTTTTCATAACTACCAGTATGCTACTTACTGGAGGAAGGTCTGGTGTGCCAAAAATTGCCAAGGTAGCATAGGAAACAAAACAAGCAAACTACACCAAACAAGACCTGCTCAGGTACAGGGTCTCCAAACG